CTTCAGAGGAAATGCCATGGACCATCAGTCCAGCATTTTTCTAGAGCAGGAGTTTCTTGGCCAATTCCACCAACTTTATCATTCATCCTTCCATTATAGGTGTTTGTACATCCTTCCACCTTTGAGCATATAAAAGTCTCACTGCAGTTATCATATATACAATATAAACGGAGTTCCATAAACTATTTCCATTTGTTTGTCCACTAAGGCCAAAAGAAAACTCTCTTGTTTCAATTGTACATTCAGTTTTAAATTCTTCTGTATTAAAATATATACGTACTGTAGTTATCCCAGTATTTTCTAGCTTTGTTACATGACCACCAAAGATGAATAGCATACCTTTAACTTGATTACATTTCCAATAAATATTTGACATTCCCTTTCATTTTTGACTATATAGCTGATGTCATGTACCAACAATACAGCATTTATCAAAATTATCTTTAAAATTATAATCGGTGGTAGGATTCAGCCAGTTCGCACCACTTTGGAAGTTTTTAAGTTTCTGAGCAGTTTGGTGAACTGGTTATTGGAAGAAGTCATCAATCAAGAAATCAATCAAGAGAACTGGCTGTTAAATTATTTGAATCTCATCACTGATTATAATGCAATGTAAATTTCAGTGCTTTTTTCCACACATCCTTCTATTAGTCCAATTGTATATTATATCCAATTTTTTTGCCCTAATTTGTTCATCCTCTGTTTCCATTTTCAATAAAAATCCATGCATCTTAGCAATATGCTTGTTTGTAGAAAGCTCTGCATCAAATTCAGTCTTACCCTTTTCAGATTGATAATTCTTCTTATCCTACTTAAACCTTTCCATTAGCTGAGTTTAAGGAAATCAATGGCATGTAAAATCTCTTGGCTCCATATTTTCTCTTGTTTTTAAGCTAAACTCTCCTTAGAAGAAATTCAGCGTATCAGCATATGTTAACCATTTTGTTTAACTATTATTTCCCTTCTGGGGGGAAAAAAGCTTCTTAAGGTGACAACTATAAAGAGATTTAGGAGTCAGTTTTGTCTTTATACCTACTACAAATTCTCAATATGGCACACTTAATAAAATGATTTTTGAAATATACATTCACCTTAAGTGTGTAGTGCCACAGATATTGTGTTATCCAAATCTTAAATTATGTCCTTCCAAATCCAATAACCTCCTATTTCTTAAAATCACCACTCTTTCATCCAAACTAACCAAGAAGCTGCAAAGTACAATTTTAAATTTGGTTATCCTCTTTAGCATCCTGCGAGTGTTTATATTTAATTTTCAGTTTCTTGCCTTGCCAAACAAATTTAGATTTTTTTTTACTGTTGCTTAAGTGGTACATTAACTGTCAATATAGTCTGAAATATGAATAATATTCTAATATTCATTTTAATTACAGAAATTCTTCCCAACAATGATAGTTGTAATTTTTTGCTATTTCTGCATGTCTTTTTTAACTTTATTCCATAACTTGACCTAGTTATTTTGAGACAACATGCACTTCATATAAAACTAACAACAAAATATTTAACATTTTCTCAACTTTAAAACAAGATCTCTACATCAAAACTTCTTGATCTTATAGTCATATTTTTCCCAGTGTCTCTGTTTTTATTTATTAATCTTAAACTCTGCAAATGCACCAAAACTTTCAATTTTTAATTTTAAAAATCCTTTTCAGAGGTCTTGAAAGATCACAACTAAATTGTCAGCAAAGGCTCTCAATTTAAAGGTTTCTTCTTTAATTTTTAGACCCATTATCTTTTCATCTTGTCTAATATCTCTGTTCAAAATTTGAAGTTCCAAAATAAATAGCAATGGAGACAGAAGGGCCAATATTGTCTTGTTCACTTCTGAATATCACATGTTTTAGTCAAATCACCATTGACTATAGTTTGAGTTTTTTGAGATGTATATATCTCAATTTGATTCCATTAAAAAAATCTCACCAAAGTCCATATCTTCCAGAACTTTAGACAAAAAGGAGCAGTTCAAATTGCAAAAAGTTTTCTCAGCATCTAAAAAACCCCCCATGTTTTTCATAATGTTGTTGCAAATATTCTATTACCATTCTGATTGTACCTTTAGCTGTCTTTTTGATTAATTGTCTTTTCTGGGTGGGATAATAAATAAAAGAAAGAAAGAAATAAACCATCTATCCCAAATCCTATTGACTGATTGATTGATTATGTGCCATCAATTTGTTTTTTACTCTTATGTAGAACACTTACTCATAAATTTTATCCAATTCTATCCCCAACTTATTCTTCCATGTATCCCAACAAGCTACTCATCACCTCCGTAACTAAGTCCATCCTGCTGCTTGTTCTTTTTTATTTTATTTACAGTATTTATTTTTTGTTTGTTTCTTTGTTTATTAAATGTATATGTCATCCATCTTACCTCAAGGTAACTCTTGCCATTCTTTCCTTCTATTTCCTTCTACCTTTCCTAACATTACAGCTGGGTCTTTGCATAATATGTCCAAAGAGCATGTTTTGAGCTTGGCCATTTATGCCTCTGTATTTACTTGTTCAATGATCCATTAGTTTTCTTTTCTTGGTCATTCACAATATTATCAAAAGTCTTTTGCAAAACCAAAATTCAAAAGCATCAATACTCTTCCCGTCCTGCTTCTTTCAAGTCTACCTACAGTACCCCGATGGTATCCTAAATATCTGCTGTCCTTAGCTAGAAGAAATTACTTAGCTCCTTGAGCTCATGCTGTAGCAACAATGTCAAGCAGTTCCTTGTGCAATTCTGGAAAACACTTTGAAAAGCAAATGTGTCTATCTTCTGTAATCATAGAAAGAGATTCACTTAGGATGATGACACCAGCATTTCACTGTCCTCATTTATTGCTTTTTAGACAACCTATGCATGACACAGCTGCCTTCCCCAGTGGGACAATGACATTGTGGTACCATGAGTATGCACATATACAACCTTTCAATATTTTCCCACAGGAGATCAGAATGGCAACTAGGGCACAGGGAAAAATAAGTGTTCAGAAAGGGATATTTTTCTTCCAATTCAATGGAAAGGAGCCAACTAAACACTTTCCCTGGTTAATAAACAGTCTATAATTTTTAGAATTGTACCTTTGGATGCATGAATTTGAAAGTTTTCATCAGATCTGATTCAAAAACAGGTAGTCCTCGACTTAAAACAGTTCATTGAGTGACCATTCAAAATTACAGTGGCATTGAAAAATGTGACTTATGACTGTTTTTTCAAAGTTACGACCTTTGCAGCATCCCCTTTTGATCATGTGATCAAAATTCCGATGCTTGGCAACTGGTTCATATTTATGACCGTTGCTGTGTCCCAAGGACATGTGATCCTCTTTTGCGACCTTCTGACAAGCAAAGTCAATGGGGAAGCCAGATTCACTTAATAACCAGGTTATTAACTTAATAACTTTCACTTAACAACTGTGGCAAGAAAGATCATAAAATGGGGCAAAATTCACTAACAAATGTCTCACTTAACAATATAAATTTGGGGCTCAATTGTGGTTGTAATTTGCAGACTACTGTTGTGGCCCGCCAGCAGAGCTGGCAGCAGACTCGGACAGTGAGGAGGTTGGGGAGGAGCATGGGTCAGCCCTGGAGACTGGGGAAGGCTTAGACGAGGGCTCTGTGTTTGAGGCAAAGACAGAGCCGAGGCCGTCTGGCAGTGATCAGCTGCTTTCAGAGCTAGACAGCAGTGAGGCAGAGGAGCAGCTAGAGCCTGTTGCCAGCGTGCGCATGCGCAGGGCTGCCAGAAGAAAAGGACAACTCAAAAGTCAGGGTAGACTTGGGAGTAAAGTCACAGGTGGAAGGTGAATGGCCCCTCCCATAGGAAATAAAAGAGGAGTGAAAGGGGAGTGGGATTTTGCAGGAAACAATTCATTCATTCGGTCATTAGATTCATTTCAGGAGTGTGAAGATTTGCCTGTGAATCTCAGAGACTCTGTGCCCAGTGTTTCCTTGCACAGCACTTCATTTGGAAAATATTTACATGGCAGCTTTCCAAGATAGACAAAGTCTGTAGCCATAAATATTCCTTTGAAAGACTGTTTGCCAGGCCTTGCTGAATGTGAATGAGAGGAATTCACATTTGTTTAATAAAAGGGNGACCGCTGCCCTGCTGAGCCTCACCAGGTATCAACCTCACCGCACGTCACTGCCATCATCTGATATAACTTTGTCTATGTGTTGAGGGATTACAGAATACTTTTTTATTGGCTAGCAATGGCTATTAGAATTATCTAAGGCTATTATCCCAAAGGTGCTTTTTTCAAAAGGCAACTGTACTTTCTGGTTTTCATTTTGCTTCTCATCTAAGAAGCTTTTTCAGCTCTGATTGGATGGTAGGAAATGAAAGGATTTATGCTCCCTGCAGACAGCTGTTCATTTGTATTCTTTTAGCGGGTCATTAAAGTCACCTGGAGGTTTGGATGAGAAGCCAAACGTCTTCAAAGAAAAACCAGAATGTCCAGCTGCCTCTTGAAAAAAGTACCTTTGGGACATCCATGACCTGGATGATTGAGAATCTCCCTAGACGCTAAGACTACTATGCTAACAGAATTTCAGTCTGCCACCCCCTCCCACCCCCCACAAAAGCTATTGCAGGGTTAAATATGATTTTCCATTTATTATTATAACAATAATGTATTGATTCACCCTTGGCTAAAATAGTAATTCAAAACAATAATGGATAATAATGAACAGTTCTAACAATAATTGTATTAACAAAATATAATACCTTGCAATGAAATAAATAAGAGCAGATAAAATTTAGATTGACAACAAATAAGCCCAAACCAATATTTATTGCCAATTACTACCTGCAATTTATGATTAAAATATTATTCAGATTTAATAAATATGCAATACTATTGCTATATTATGCATATTAACATTGTTCTACTTGCTCCTTATCTCAAAAGATTTCAATTTCTATATTATCTCTCGCTTTCCTTCTCTCCTCTCTCTTTCTTTGTTTTATTTATTTTTGGGGATAGGAACATTATAGGTCCTTGAATGGATTGACCCTCAGTTGGATAGGTGATGGAAACAATGTTCTAAACTCTATTCTGTTAAGTGCTGCTAAATTTGGGATGAATCTTCATGTTGCTACTCCAAAGGTAAGGGAATTTTACTGTTATAAACAGAACTCCGTTTGTGATGCTTCAATGTTTAAAAGATTTTAAACATAGTATGAGATGTACAGAAGAGGTAACTCATTTATTTATTTTTTTGTCTACTACCTCTAGTCATCAGTTTAACTATGAGGAACTTGGTGGACCAGAAATAATTTAAAAGAGAGCATATTATAACTCTTGTCCACATTTTGCAAATATGACTTGCAAATATTTCCTTCACCCAACATGGACTTTCAAAATATGGTAGAGTATAACTCAGGATTATCATCCTGAGGATATTCTATTAGGAAAGCAGAGAGAATGGAGAGGAAGAACTCTTATTAAGTTTCAGTATTACAGACAGAAAGGGGATTTTTTTCTGCTTTTTATCCCCCCCCCTCCCTTTTCCTCCGTTGTATATTTTGTAGCTGAATTTGAATTGGGAATAAATCAGCTCATTTATTTAATACAGGATATACCACAAGATTACAGGTACTCCTCCGGTTATGATAGCAATTGAGACCAGGACTGCCATTGCTAAGTGATGCAATTGTAAATCACAATGTTACATGACTGCATTACTTAGCAAAGGTAATCCAGGCAGTCCCGGTTGTTATCTTAAGCCAAGACAGTGGGTTCAGTGGTGGGTTTCAAAATTCTTTAGAGCCTCTTCTGTAGGTGTGGCCTGCTTTGTGGGACTGGCTTGGCAGTTATGTGACTGGGTGGGTGTGGCCAACTTGTAAAATGTAGTGAAACTCACTTAACAATGCTCTTGCTTTGCAACCAAAATGTTGGCTCATAAACTCTGGCATTTGAAGCACACCTTAAAGCTGTCAAGTTACAAGACCCTTGCATCCCTAACCCTTTAGAAAAAAACCCCAGGGGTGTTCAAACTTGACAGCTTTAGGACTTGTGGACTTCAACTCCCAGAATTCCTCCTCC